CTGAGATACATATTTATCAGTTTTGTGTTTTTGATTTTGATGAATGATGATGCCATGGTAACTAAAATTGAAAATTCTGTAAAATTTTATTAAAAGCTACTCCTACAGTTGTAGTCTTATCGCAATCTTGCCACAAAAAGAGACTCAATCGAGGATCATTATTCTGTTTATTGCTTTAGGAAAGTTTTATGTCCCAACTGCTACTTTTCTCTTCCTTTATTATGAGTACAAACCAGTAGAGCTACAGTCTCGACAGAGACTTCTGGTTAATTATGGATAACCTCCAGTTTAGCTGATCTACTTAAAAATTAAGCTTACTGTTACATGCAGATGTTCAAAATTACTGCTACCATAAATAGAAAGCCTTTTTAAAACTTTGTAGTAGTAACTTAAAGGGATTCTTAAATCTGGTGATATTTTGATTCACCAAGTATTTAACAGTGTACTTTATATTGTTTGGTTAAACACATACAAAAAGAAAAGAATTCAGTCAAGGAATGAAGATTACATGCCTAGTATACTAACCCGCTAAGATCAAAGATTTGCTATGTAAAACGTGTTTTTTATGGCTTCATTCTTAGCTGGAATAAGCCCTTCCCCTATGCTGAATTCGTCTCCATTTTACAATACTTTGTACCAAGTGAATCAAATGTACTGTATAGACAGTGAAATACTCAGTGTTTTGAAAGTAATGCTAATTTTGATATTTTTTGATAATAACTTCTGTGTATCTACATTAGGCTTTCTTTTTTTTCAAAAGCACTCATTTAGTAATAACTGACCGGATGTATGGTAAGAAAATGGCAAGTTACTGTATACAGGGTTATTTTCGCCCTGTGTTATTATCGCCCCTTTACACTTGAAAAAACATTGGTCCTGTTTTAAATTCACCCAGTCATAGTTTTGTTTAAGAAATCATACTGTATTCTTTGAATTCGCCCCGTTTTAAATTCTCCCAAAGAAGGATGGGGCGAAAGGGGCGAAAATAAAACGGGAGCAAAAATTTCCCCGTATACAGTATTCATAAACTTTTATATAAAATGAGAAATTAGCAAGTATATGTATTGTCTTTTGATAGAATCTCATTTCAAATCGTGAATATTTCATTTTTTAAATGTTTTGAAAAAAAAAATTTAACGAAAAAAGTCTGAATGATTTTTGGGAACATTATAAATCTATAACTAGCTGCAGTTTTTCCTTTTGCCTTTTCATTGTAATTAAATGAACATGTATACTTCAAAACATTGTATCTCCTTTAATACACTATAGCAAGTATATGTTAATATTAACCGGTAAATCAGAGACCATTCCGTCATGGTTAAGGTTTATTTTTCCACTTTCCTATTTGTTGAGCCGCCGTGGGCATTTTCTTATATGTTTCTTTAACAAAAAGATGTGACACGTATAATATACATTTTCAGGAAATGAATAAATTATATTTCAGGACATAGCAGGTGTCAAGGAAGAAAATATTTATATATTGTTAAATAAATAAAATTTTATCACTCTGTGAATTACAGACAAAAACGTTTCAATGACAGTTAAATTCGTTTTTATCATAACTACTGTATAGTTAAAGCTCGTATTGTGTGCTTTTGCCTGCCTGCGAGACCGTTCGTCTGAAAGTTTCCCGTAAAGGTGCCAGCACGTGATGTTTATATTAGGAGAGTGAAAGTATATCATTATTCACCACAACCTTGACAACATGGGATATCAAATGAACATTTCACACTTATTGAATGCAATAAGCAGTTTAATTTGTTATAATATTCACCACTGTTATTTTTTTTTGTCCTTCCAGGAACTGGTCTGCACTGTTGTGATAAAAATTCATCTTAGTGTTTAATGATTTTAATAATGTTTATTATTCATTTTGTTTAAGCTTGTCAATAAATGATTTAATACATTCTTTCAAATGCAATTAATGTACTTTCAATCATAGGCTTTCAATATATGACCAAGTTGACTACGTTTCTTCCTGGGACTTTAACCACTGACTGAAGAGGCAAACATTTCATAATGTTTGTCGAGGTATGTGTTTATTAATTACAATGTATGATCCTGAAAAAAAATCCGCCAGATACCAATGAGAAAATAAAACTTAAAAGTTTTATTTCAGAATTAATATATATGTGTATTTTCGATACAATTAGGCCCCGTCCTTTAGCAAAAGCGCTGTATGGTTTCATGGGACATCAATTGCATGTGCAAACTTCTAGTAGAGAGTTTAAATCATGGAAACTCTTTCATAAGATATTTAAGCATTTTCAGTTTATGTCGTTGACCAACTAAATCCAATCTTATGGACTAACCCCTTTTCTGAGAGCTTAGAAAAAATGATAATTTTGGGTGAGAGCGTGTTCACTTTTACACTGACTGCTTGATGTCCAGGACTAAAGATTACTTTAAATTAAAGGACTACATTACGTTTTATATGTGTATTGAAAACAAATACATTTGCTCTATATGTTCGATAGGTATGCTGTGTTTCTTTTTGTTTCTTTGTTTGCACAAAAAAAGTTAAGAATATAGATTTTAAAAAATACGACAATGTAAAAATAGCAATAATTTAAGACATAACAGTCCCACAGATCATAAACTTGTTGAAATCTTGACCTTTGCAGGGAGCACCTGTTTGTCACCTATTGTGTGATGATCTGAGGAATAAAGCAGATAATCCTGTCTTTGGTCGATGAGCAGTCTGACACAGACGGTAGACGTTTCCTGGTGTTGATGTGTATCATGTGAAAACCGCCGGAGGTATGTCAAACAGAGAGCAATATAACGCAACCATTTTCAATCATACAGACACCTCTATGTACGGACTGGACGTGCAATAACCTCATTTGCTATTGTTTGTCATAAAGAAGCGGTCATAATTTAAACACCCCCTTTCGTCGATATGCATAAGGTTAATTTTATGCAGTCTTTCATTTTTTTTTTTAACAATTTACGCTGAAAATATGCGATCATCTTTAGATTTATACTAAGGAGGGTACAATATTGCTCCATGATCCTATTTTCATCATATATTATGTCTGTGCACGATAAGTTAACCGGGAGTGGTTTGGTAAACTCTTGATAGATACATGTAAAGTCAGTTCCAAAGTGTGACTGTCGATTATAAAACTGCGTCATTGTCAATTTTTTTTATTGATGGCAAACTAAAATGTCTGCCATTCAAAAAACTAAAATGGAATTACTGAAAACATATCTGAATGTATTTTCCCTATTTAAATAAGTAATCACGATTTTCTTTGTCATTACATTGTTGGTTTTAAAGGTTTTCTCATTTTCATCGTCTCTTAATTGTTTCTCTTACTGTCTCTTTCTTTTTCTTTAAACTCTGGATCTTGTCGTTTGTTTCTCATGCTGTCTCTTTCCTTGTCTTTCAACTCTGGATCTTGTCTCTTGTTTCTCTTACTGTCCCTTTCTTTTTCTTTATTCTCTGGATCTTGTCGTTTGTTTCTTTTACTGTCCCTTTCCTTTCCTTTAGAGAGTCGTAATTTTGAAAATGTAATCTTTTTATAGATGTGATTACAATAACTGCCATCTTAAACTTTTCTGACTTATAATAAAACTTTCAGAATCCTTCAAATAAAGTGTTGATCCAAAGAACCCTCCATGCTTCTCTAAGCCAAAAGTTTACCCAAAAGTTATCAGAAAATGTTGTGGTATCTTTTAGAAAGGGGTAGTACATTAAAAAGGGATAAAGAAGCACATGAAAGGATAGAACGACATTTTTATATGATTTATGTTGTTATTATTTTATTTAACGCACACGAAATTATTCCCGAATTTCCGTCATATAAGTTTCCATCGCAATTACAGTTACTGTAGTTTATTATTTTTGTTCGTAACGTAATCCTTTGAGTTTGTGGGAAATATCATTTTAAGATATAATTACATTAATTATATACAACAACATAAAGCAATTTAAACAGGTATCATAGGAAGCCGTGAGTTGCTTATTGCTTCTTGTACACCTGGGGTTCATTTTACAAAGAACTTATGACCAGGACCATAGACTTAAGTTGACAGTTTAAGTAAAATTTTTGCAAAAGTAATGATTATGTTTAAAATTGCTATAGTGCAAAAAAAATTAAATATTTTCAAACCATACCATAATTAGAACGTTATCAGCAGAATTGAATTTTCGTCATAGTCGAAAGTTCTTTTGTAAAACGTTAAAACATTATTTCCTTATGATGTTTATCTTTAATTTTAACTGTGTTGCCTACATATCAGTTATATATTCAATTTTCACTGAATTTGTTCCCATTAGGGATTGAAGACCATTATGTGTTTCTTGATCAAAAATTGCTTAATAAAAAAAGTTGTTTAAATCAATTTTTATTACAATTTGTAGGGCATTCTTTCTTCTTTTTTATTTAGAAAGATATTAATAATAAACGAGTCATGACAATTGATGTCACTATTTTTATCTTATTTTCATTTTATACATTGATTTCATAAAGGTGGCCAAACACCAATTTATGTCAAAGTTATAGAGTCTAATAACTTATTCTCCTTTGACACAATATTTTTTAATCATGAATGTACAAATGTTTCTGGAATTTACATCCATTTTTCTGTGTTCAACATGATATGTACATTTGTCAAAATCATGCGATTTTTTGCTTCTAATGCTTTTTTGGTCAAAAGCTTCCTAGAAAATTACAACCACAAGGTTTTTCATTTTCTTTTATATTTTAGAGAACAGTACGACTTTGTACATAATTAGTTGCTAGGTTTGGATCTTAGTCAAATATATATGGTCCCTTCTCGTATATAACGGTCATAGTTGTCAGACAAGACATTTTATGAGCGCGCGCATCACAGACGACCCATTGGAGCGCGTGCTAGCTAAATGAGTTAACGTGAAGTCGCGAGCCCCTATCTTCACACTGCCTGCTTTGCAATTGGGGACAAAATTGGAATATTGTGTCCTGATAATAGCAGAATTAGCATGTTTGGTAAATATGTACACAAAGAAATCTGTGAAACAATGTAACTCACACAACGGACATGAATTTGATCTTATTGCACTAAATCTGCCTGTTTACAGACCTAATTTTTGCAAGTCTACATGGGAAAATAAGAGTTTTTGATTCTGAATTGCTTCAAGCTTTATTCTCGGTGATAATTTTGTCTTTCAATCTAAATCAACTACTCAATAGATGGCTTTATAATTGGCATTTTCCTTGGGGCACATCTGTGAATCTTTTTCATTGTTTCATCATGCACTTTCTTTGGACTTTTGTACTTTGTATTGTGGAGGTCTATGGACACGGAAAGCTCTGGGAGCCACCTAGCCGTTCCTCTATCTGGAGGAGAGGATTCGATTCTCCAGTGAATACCAATGATAATGAACTCAATTGTGGTGGATATGAGGTAAGATGATTTAGAGAGAGGGAGAGAGAGAGAGAGAGAGAGAGAGAGAGCGTGAAGGAGAGAGAGATCGAGAGAGTGCGCGAAGAGAGTGAGAGTGCGTGAAGGAGAGAAATAGTCGGGGAGAGAGATATGGAGGGAGGGATGGAGAGAGAAAGTCGGGGGAGAGAGATATAGAGGGAGGGGAAAGAGTTGGGGGGGGGGAATAGAGAGAGAGAGAAAGAGATGGGTTCACCTAATCCTACTGCTGAATTTCCTATATTCTATGTTTTCAATTTAAATTATTATTACGCTTAAATATGACGAAATGCTAGCTAGCACTTGAAACCAATGTATTGTAATCAAAATTAAATAAAATATATATTTTATGTCAAACTTTTAACTTTTGTTCTTCAAAGATCAAACAAAATATTGAGGCCTGAAATTGAATTATATTCTCTGAGTTCAATTTTCAGTAAATCAACATTGTAATGATGAAACTTGAATTATAAAAAAAAACTGTCACAAGACAAATTACAAAAAAACTCTTCAACCAGGCTTAGTTTCCTTCAAAAATGTCCTATTTTTCATTTATGAAAGGTATGTAAAACTACGACTCCAAAAAATGTGTTGATAAATTAAAGATAACTGAGCGCATCAATTAGGATGCCATGATGTCAAGAGTTTGTTGACTTTGTTATTGGTTCTTTTGAATTCTCTCTATTGTCTTTGGAAAAGTCACTAACCTGTTTGCGTTTTGTTTACTGAATTTCTTAAAGAGTAAGCAAAATTTAAATGCTCATAAAACGTTTTTATAGACATAAATTATATAGAAAGGATAAAAACCCGCAAATAAATAAATTTGGTGATTTGAACATCTGAAAACTAATAATACACGTAAACATTTCTTTTATTTCAGTTTGGCTAGTTAAAAAAAACAACTACTAGTATGCTTTAAGCTGTTTTTGAAACGGGTATTTAATGCATTAGTTTTGTGAAAAATTAATTTGAAATTTAAAGTTTTATTCTACTTAAAAAACACACCAAATTCTACATAAAAAGTAATTTACAATATTTCTTCAAATTTTAGAAGACTCTAGCAAAATGACACCTTATAAAAAATTATGGAATAATAAGCTCTTCTTTGACCATGATTCAATGATATTAACACTGTTAATATGCATATCACACATGTACTTATAATTAACTGAGTGCAATTTTCAGTGGACTACTAGTATTTCTCATATCCTACACAAAAAAATTGTTCTTTACAATAGCCTTTTTCTATCTGCCTATACCCGGTATTATATAGACTATGTGAAACACTGTTAACCATTAAACGTAACCTTTATTTACTTTTGTATACTTTTTCCCAAAACTATTTTTACCATCTTATGATGGCTTTTATTTTTATCATCTATTTGAATAAAAAGACAGTTGTATCAATCTGATTAAAATTAGATCCTTTGATCCGCTCACATAGATCGCTATACATGTACAAGGTAAAACAATCTATTCGAGCGGATTAAAGAATATGACTGAAATCAGATTGACACTCGAATGTAATAAATTAATATGCCTTTTCCTTTGTGATGAACTGAGTGAGGTGCTTAGAATTATCATAAAATCGCGTGATCTTTAACAGATGCCTTAAACAAGGTTACTTTCACCCCACCCCGTAATTTTCACCCATACACACTCCAAAAATGTTGCCCTGTGTAAAATTCGCCCAGTGACAGTTATACTTTCATTGCATTTGCTCCGTATTGTATCCAAGGAACAAAGAAAAAAAATGGATGCAAAAATTTTCCTCCATGCAGTGTTTTTCATCCGCAACAGATAATATATTTTGTGTCCATGTATATTGCGGAAATAAAATAGTAGGAATCAAGTGTTAACATAATGTCACCCTCTTGTCCACTTTTAGGACAGTTGCTATTCACTGGTTGACTTGGCGTTAAGTCATTAGTTTTAGATGTCCTCTCTGGTGACCTGAATGTGATATCTGTTTTAAACCCAAAACAAAGTCTCACAAAGAATATCAGTCATTCGTTTTGACCACCAAAACCGCTAACTGTTAAACGCACCATATAATATACATCATTGAATAGGGTTTCGCTGTTCATTACCATTTATGACAAGAGGTGTTGGATGTAAACTTAATTTGAACCCTTAATGAAGTTTTTTGAAAATTTTTACATAAAAGTGATCGGAAAATACTTCGCATACTTAATATTACTGATCCAAAATAATTATTTTACGAGTGAAATAATTGTCATGCTGACCCACACCGATATTTCTAATGTTTCCCTAGGTAGTTAATGACCAAGATTTATATCAACTCAGGAATCATACCTGACTTTTACTATGCAGTTGTTGCTGATTTACTGCATTGTTCTCTAAATACTAACAACAAACCTTTACCTATCAAAGTATATCTCGTTTCCGAAGACACATGAGGATTTCCATTCGGGTGAAGTCAATAAAATCACGTGATTTATTCCAGGGAATAGTAATTATTATTTCTTTAAATGTGAACAATGTAAACGCAGGTATGAAAAATGCATGTTTTTTTTTAATTCAAATTTTTGAAAAGAACTATATAAATTATGAATTAAATTCATTCAGCTTTTGACTCTTTATTTGTGAGCTGTTCTGTGCTTTGTAATTTAAGTGCATATACCAACATTTCGCAATGAAACCAAAATCGTCTTTGAAGTCTTTAAGTTAAAGATAGTTGAAGATACCAAGTTTCGACAATGGTTTGCGAAAACAACAAAAAGATTTTACTTTGTCAAAAGTAATATCAAATTGCATCGTTTTATTTTCAGAATCATTGGATTCATCAAGGAGGCCGATGCGGAGTTTGTGGCGATCCCTACCAAGACCACCCCAGACCTAACGAAGCAGGCGGAAGATACGCTACAGGGCTTATTACCCGGAAATACAAGGCTGGTGACGTCATTGATTTAGCAGCAGATCTCACTGCCAACCATATTGGCGTTTTCGAATACCGTGTCTGTCCTGTCCAAGATGGAAATATTCCAGCCACACAAGAGTGTTTTGATAAGTATCCTGTGTTAGTAACAGAGTCTATAGATGGTCGTTATCATGTGAATGCCTCAGAAAATGGCATAATTCACATGAAAGGTCGTCTTCCTCCGAATCTGTCGTGTGAGCACTGTGTACTCCAATGGCGCTATAACACAGGTAACGGCATAATACTGAATATAAGGATTTCTATGTGCAGTCAGATATTCAAGTCATTCTATGTAACAATAACATGAATAAGATAACATGAATTAAAAATATATTTCCCATAACTAGTCCAGTACATTTTGATAATTAATTAACTGCATGACTGTAAGATTTCTCATCTTATTTAGGTAACCGTTGGAACTGTGATATAAATGATAGATGCGGACATGGGATCGGTCCTCAGGAAGAATTTTACGGCTGTGCAGATATCTCGATTACAGAAAATCCAGACTTTCTAAAGGACTCCAGATCTAATAATAGACCTCTCCATCTTTTCGAGCCACTTGAAATTCAGCTTAGAAATACTTTAGAAAATTTCAGATCAATTTCAAGGGACGAAATAAATGATTACCCAACAGAAAAGTCTGATATTTACTCGACATCTTTTGACACGCATTTAATTCCTATAATGACAACAGAAATACCAGAGACAGTTTCGGATTTTACAGAGTCGCCCATAAAAGTTTTTCCGATGCCGCTGGAAATGAAGCCTGTGACTAAATCTGCTTTTCATTCACCATTGGGTGCTAAAAGAACAAGAATAAATTTCAAAAAGACATCCTTTGACAAGCAATCGTTTCCTGAGAGGACTACATGGTCACCGTTAACGGTTTCAGAATACACTGTTTCGTCAATAAAGGGTGTTCCCGTGCAGCTGGAAAATCAACCAGTGACGGAAATGTCTGACATTCAGTCTGTCTTTGGAGCCAAACGTACAAAGATTAATTTTAAACAGAAGCCATCAAACACTGAAATTAACCCACTGGAAATCAAGACAGCAAAACACAATGGGCAGAAGGTAGCTGTGCTCGAAAGGTTGTCCGAGATGTTGTGGTCCATGATGAAATCACTCATGGTGCAATCAAACAAACGAAATGGGCAAAATATTGCATCTGTAAAATGGGACCCTTTGAAAACTCTGGGTAAATCACCAATCCGAAACACCGACTATAAAAATCGTTATCAATTTGAACTAAAATCACAATGGCCGCCAACTCGACCCATGATTGTAAAAGCTGATTACGGCATTGATGACATACTAGAGGGAAACCCAATAGTACTTCGTGAAATATCACCCAAAGAATATTTAAAAAGCCCTCTTCTCACAAACAGAAATCTCAGAATACCATTTCGAAGCAGAATGGGTGAATTTGATCAATTTCGAAAACATACACATAATCTTGACTCAAGGTTATTAGAACTTCAACAGAAAAGAGGCAAATCAACTACAACTCAAGAAATTGCAACATTAAAATCTCTGGTTTGTACAGGTGCAGAAAGTTTTGCATACGTAGAAGGCATCAATACATGGTGTACAAGAAATTGCAAGGCAGGGAACTGCCCACGACATATGTGTAGATGTGTGAACAAAAGAGTAAGAGCAACTTCTAGTTCAATGATGACAAGTACAACAGCAACAACAACTGAACAACCATTAAGTTCAACAAAAAAACCTACATTACCATTTTTATCTTCATTTCTCCAGAAAGACCCTTTAAAACAGAAAATACCAAAACAAAACGGACACGTGAATTTCTTGTCTAAAGAGGCATATATGGATCTTTACAAGAAAAACCCAAGAATATTCGGACAAAAAATCAAATATGTTGATAATACGAACAAGTATCCTTCCAAAAATGCAAAAAGTATAGGAGCGCAAACGCGCGTTCAAGAAACCTCCACTATAAAGAGTCCCAAAAAATCCATTATATGTCACGGTGCAAACCGCTATGGTCAGCAGAAAGCCATCAAGGGCTGGTGTACAGAAAACTGTAGGAAAGGTTTCTGTCCAAAAAGAGTATGTGTCTGCAAGTATGGATAGACGATTTTCTTTATAAACTAAGAACTGTTTAGTGCATGAAAAAAACTAACACTGACATGGAATAATTTAATGTTACACAAGAAAGTAAACTGCGTTATTTTGGTGCATGGCAAAAATTTGGTAAGTTTACAGTGACGCGTCGTAGTGTGTGTATACCCTATCGGTCAGGCTCATGACTTGACGAAGAGTGGTTCAACACATGCAAGTTTGTGTTTTGATCAACGAAGTCATTCTACTATTTATATATAAAAAGGAAATATATTACTAGTATATTGCTACATGTACGTCTTATAGTGCTTTATATCAAAAGCCAATGTCTCTGCCGTGAGCTGTCTTACATGTACAAACCAAAGTTACACACAACATAGCATTATTCCTTCGTAAGTTGAAACATGTACTAAAAGTCAATATTTCTTTTAAACTAGAGTATTACTAGTAGTCGTATGCTTATTAGTACTCGATAAATGAGGCGACAAAAGCATCTGTATATTACATTAATATATTTCTCTAGATAAAAAAAAAAATTATCTAATCATTATTTTCTATATACGCACGAAAACATTCTGGTTGCTTTGAAAACAAATTTTAAAAAACTTATGAGTACAAATGTTTAACAAGGCTCTTACATTTATATACCCACGGAACCTTATTCAGATACAAGGTATATTGTAAAAGTAAACTTCTGTCAGTTTGCAAAAGGTTCGTGTCAATTATAATTTTTTTGTTTTACATATTTAAACGGTCAATTGTTTTTAAATGTATGTCTTAAGCATATAGTATATTTATCAGTGATTTATGTTTGACTCAATAAAATGGTAATAATTTACATTTTTACATAGATGTCGTGTAATAAAACTTTAAATAGTAGTAGTAATGATATTACAAATTGAAACTATTTGGGTTTTTTAAATATATGATATATTTACTCTTCTCAGATAAGACGGGTATACGTAATAAAGCTATTATATTTTGTCAAAGAGGTCATTAAAAAGGTCTTAAAATTTCAAAGTTCAACTTTTTTAATAACTCTATTTTCCACAATTACTAGATTTAAGCAGGAAGGATATGGTTTGGTTATATACTGTTCGGTTAAAAGCTTATATCTACTTGGACCAAACTGCAAGAACGAACGTAAACAAATAATTGTTTTTCCACCTAAAATTAGAGGAATTCTGCCATTTTCAGTATTGTTTTTTTTTTTCTTTTTTTTTTGTTGAAAAGTTTAATGTTCACTAAACAATGACCATAAAAGCACATAACCGAAACCATGAGTATGAATCTAAGAGTTCTAAAATGACAAACGACGGACAACAAATAAGTCAACTCTTTAACCACTTCAGTTGTTTTGTAATTTAGTATATACTATAAAATTAACATAAAACAACCATTCTACAAATTGGCTTATGCAAATTTTAAACCCACCTGTTATATGTTAACATTAAAATATGATTATGCAAACCAATCTGTAATACGTATGACTTACTGTAAAGAACTTTGTTATAAAAAAAACTTGCTTATGAATAATAATTTAACATTTAATATTCAGAAAGTAAAAATAAATGATTATGAAACAAAACTTTACGACATAAGGAACAAACACGGAGAAATTAACATCTATACATAACACTGTTAATTTCAAAGCAAGAATTTTGTATTTTGTTAATAGTTAAGTTTAAGATATGTGAAATTTTTAAGAATGAACAAGTCAATCCATTAATATATCCTTCAATTTTAACTCTAAACCCATTTTCGTTAATGTTATTGAAAAAAATGATTGTACTTGACGGCAAATATGATTGCTGGATCTGAAGAAAAAATGTTTTCCCGTAGGCTGAGGGCCGACGGCAATATTTATGTTTGGACTTTTTGACAAATATTGTATTATCAATGTTTTTGAAACTAATCTAACAAAAATTGACTTTAATATTTACTTTCAATGGAAGTTTTCAGAATCCATCAATTATATAAAAGGACGAGTAAGGTACATTCATTTCACCAAATTTTTTTTAGAAGCGGGCCAATAATTTTGAAGTTGGACAGATACATGTACATGTTACCACGTCATATTTGGTCAAATCTATAAAAAAAAAATTGACGTTTTCCCTTAAAGTCTGATCGAATGCACTTTTTCTGTATTATTTGTATGATAAAATATTTCAAAAAGTATAAAAATGTCAACAAAAAAGGGACAGAAATGAAGTGAAAGCAGTTAAGTACACAGACTGTCCAATATGTTCATAAAAACGATAAATTTACTTCGTTTCGTAATACAAATACAAGGTCATATATAATAGAAGATGGCCTATTAAACTTTTTAAACCGTGTCATATCTGCTAATAAAAGCGTCTTCATTCAAAATATTGTATACCGTTACATTTAGTAATTTCACAGAATATGCACCAAACCTTTTTGTACCAAACATTTCCTTTAGTTTGTCCATTAAAGCACGACTTAATCATTACTCATAAGCCAACCCCCATATACGTGACAGGCCGGACAGTAAATTTGTGGTCAGGGACCTGTTTTGTATCAAAGGTGTAAAAAAAAAGGTCAAATGTCCTCAAAAATAAACCACCATCAAGTTTACAGGTAATGAGAATATAGGTCAGGTGTTAAGCTCATTTCACAATAAAAGCCTTTTGATGACATTTTTTTTCATTTTAGAAGATTTGTTTTTGCTTTTATATATTTTGGTAGAACTAAAACAGACAAGAATATCTCTCTCTCTATATATATATATATATATGGTCATATATATATATGGTCTAAGACTAAAAGAACCACAGATCTGTCATTTTTTATTATCAATAGCAATTAAAGAAAACACAATCTGCATTCAAGTAATTAATACAAAATCTGTTTTATAATACATTTTAAAAAATATGCATGACATAAGATGTACATGTTTCATACTACAAGTACATCATAGCAATTTAAACACCGATATTAAATTCCAGGGATGATTCCAAGGAATTGTACAGTTTAAATCCTCCAAAATCTTAAAGTAAAATCTTGCTCCTATCGAGTTCTAGATTAATTCTAACTGTTCTTTCCTCTCTTGGCATCAACAACAGCATTTTATTTTACTTTGTATATAAACGACTATAACATATAACTTGTTTGGTTTAAAATCACCATCTTTTAACTTATTCAGTTGATCATTACAGTACTATCAAAAATTAAATGGTTCAGAAGGGATAAAGGAAGCAAAGTAAATTCTTGTTACATTCTAGGATATATCATTGCTAACTGAATTTTCCCCAAAGGCATTTTACGTGAAACTCAGCAAATACGTGTACTTTTCTCAGATAATTTATAACATTCAACTTTCCAAAGCAACAATTCATTCATTCAAACTGGAAAGATATATCATGGTTCTATTATTCGGTGAATAGCCTTCATCTATGTGAACCAAATTGCAAGTACAAATGTAAATATTAAATGTAAATAATTTGTTTTTATACCATTCAACTTTCCAAAGCAAATATCAATTCATTCAAATTAATCAGATCTCATTCTATTGTCAATCTCCACTTAAAAAAATAATGTAAATAGCTGCGATTCTTGAAGTCTGTGTTATTTACATCTATCATGTTTTGGCAATAGATATTAATACCACTGTCACGTTGTCAGCACTCAGTCGAAGTACTGCTTCATTAGCTAGTTTCTGACAGGCCGTCTGACAGCGAACTTCTCTCACCGTCTTACCATCAGTCTCTTGTAGAGTCTCATCCTATTAATACCATAACATTCTAGGAATTATTTCTGTTTAGATACAGAATATGTTGTTGTAAACAATACTTTATACCCAAATTTGAGGAAATGTATTGTCATTGACATGCATGGTTGTCTGTCCAAAATAGTTTTCAGCCATATCTGTGGATTGGAATGGCTTGAAACTTGTGTGTGTTTTACACGATTTGTAGCATTGTCCATACAGTAACAGAGTTAGCACTCCCACTTTACTGCTACATACACCTGCTGCTCATTGTACAAGATTATTTTAAATAATAATTAATAATATATTAAAAAGTATGTTTTAAAAAACAGACCTACAGTGTATAAATGTGTTATATCTCATGTCAAAAATCAAAGGTCAAGGTCTTTTAACAATGAGATTGGAAGTTATGATACATTCTTGTGAATTCCAATTAGTCTTCCTAATAATTTACTCTCAAATGGAATAAGACTTACAGATATAACTAGACTCTTAAACCATGGAACTAAAAATAAGGTCATTTCATCCATCAGTTTATATCACTTCATACAGATACTGATAGCGAACATATTTGATGGTCCTTTATTCAAGTGGTGCTTTTTTCACAAATGACATTTAGACACTGCACAGGAGTGTGATGAAATAACAGGGTACTTATATATAATACTGTAGTAGGAAAGGAATTCCATCGGGGTGGGGTGGGAGGTAACAAACTCTGGTGCTTTTGCATACAGTGTAAGTAAACAATGTTGAATTTTGAAGATTTTATAAAAGTTTAAGGTTTTCATACCTCTAAAATTTTGTTTGTGAAGTTGATACATTCTTTGAAGGAAAAGCATTTCCAAAGTCCATCACATGCCAGCACAATATATCTGTAATATAGATATCAGCAAAATTTGTTTGGTGAATCAAACATGGTTTGTATCATTTAATAATACAGCGAAAATGCAGACACACTCAGAAATACGACTTAAAGATGTCATATAACGAAGTCAGAACAGCATCTCTTTCACAACGGGAAGTCAGGCATGCTGGTCTTGAACATAGATTTGGTGGATAAGTATACAATAATGAGAAAAAACACAGGCTATCAATATTTCCCATCTTTGTTTTAATGAAACCAAGCATCAAAGATGTGATGTTTATTTTTTTGCAACATTGTCACCTATCAAGACACTCAAATTCTTATAGATAATCAATCTTTTCCAATACTGATCATTAATGGGCATCAAAGATATAATATCTGATTTTGCTCTCTGGCTTCATCTATCAAAACACTCATATTCCATTATTTTTTGTATCTGGTGTACAATTATATCTATAAAGTTTTTAAAACTAAAATAAAAATGCACTATCAATGAAAAAGATACTAAATATGAGTATGCCTCATTGTTTGTAGAGGAAGTTATTGGTTGCTGTAAAATCACATACTTTCATGGGGTCAAATTTTCATGGTTTTACGAAAAACACTTGGTTCATGGTATTTTGATTTTGTGGATTTAGAATTGTTGAGTAGTTATTTATATAACATTTCATTTTTTATGCATGAATATGTGGGTCTTTTCATGTCTCGAAAACAACGAAAATTAACCCCTCATGAAAATTTGTGATTCCACAGTACATTTTTACCTGTCTTGGTCAGTCAGTTGACATTTCTTGACATCAGGTAAACATGACACTCCAAGCTTTTTATACTGACCATCTCCAATGGAGCGTGATACTTCTAATACTCCCAAAACCCGACCATCCCTGAAAAAATAGATTGAACACCTTGAATACTTTCATCAACCATCTCTAGAAAAACATATAATTAACAGGGATTATCATTTTTTTTTAAATAGGCCTTCTTTTTAAATTAAAAGATATTTCTTTATAAATGCAATGTCATTGGTGGAAAAATCTTCAATCAAACATTAACTATATATCATAAAGTTTTGAGCATTAATTTAGTTAAGTAATAAGCCTCTATCTTGTATAGGTAAAAAATACATACAGTGAGACAACGGGACAATATTCTATAAGGCTTCAATCTCACTCAAAATTGATATTTATAATTATGCTAATTAAGAAATAAAATATGAATAAGACATTTCGGATCTGAAATTACTTGACATGGCCTCCTGCTTTCTGAATCCTGATTCTCTCCTCATAAACTGAGGGACTGTGCTCTGTTGACAGGGGGATGGGTACATCAGAGTTGTCTTCCTTACATCTGCATAAAACTGCCTAAAAAGCAAACAGATACAATTTTTTTCTGAAATTTTCGTTTATGGAATTAAATACGAGGGAACTAAAATAAAAATGAGGGAGAAAAATAAAATTCAAATCAAAGAAGGATTAAGAAAAAAAAATGACACTCTTTATATTTATTACTCCTCCACTTTCTATCAGTAAACAAAGTTTGAAGAAAATATGAAAATATCTCAAAGCATTTTTAAAAACAGAAGTAACTACCAAACGAAGGAACAGTGCGGTCAAAGTCATTAAAAAGGTCACGGTTAGAAACCAATGACAGAAAAAATGCCCCTACCAATCTGTATATAAGACATTTGATGAAGACAACATCAAGGTCAAGAATAGAGCACAGTCAAAAATAAGGTAAAGGTCATAAAAATATTTCAAAGCAATGTGGTAAATTGAAATTTTGGTCAAGAAGTCTAAGGAAGATTTAAAAAGTTTGCATTTCCTGGGAAAACCTTGTAATGTATATACAGTCAAACCTGATAATCTCAAAATCAATTAGACTTGGCAGGGTTTAAAATTAACTGAAATTTCCACTAGCCATGTGGGCTCCTAACATTTCAAATTTAGGAGCCCACAGCTAAATTTGTTAGCCCACAGTCAGTTTCTGTGATTTAAAAAAAAAATTGTTCCCCTTTTTTTGGACACTGGGACAAAAGCTGCGGATACAAATAAAATATGATTGTGTATTAATATGAGTACATTTGTTTAAAATTGGAGTTCTTACTTTATGAAAATCAAATGTCATATGAATATTTAATCAAAGGAAATAAAATTGAATTCAAGCATCACTTTTACTATCCTTTTTTTCTTTACATGGTCGAATACGTATACATGTATTTGCTCCTTCAAGTTCAACCGATGAAGTGGCAATGTAACATAAGATTTTCAATGTTAAATATTTTAACTGTAACATATCTGAAATAGTAATAAGTAAAAACACTTATAATTTATATGAATAGGTAGTTTGGAGTTATTAAAATTGTATATCTTTCACGTATCAACTATGTACAGAAGAATGGAGGAAATTCGGATTAGGAAAAAACGATCGTTTTAGGGCTTTCACAAATCATGCAGTACTGTTAAATGGAAAAGATGAAGGATATTTACGAACAATAGGACCATGCTGCTGTGATTTATTTCATTGGTTGGGAGTTTTGAATGAAAAACCTGTGGAAATGTCTGTTTTTCAGTAAGGGGACTGGTCGAATGAATTCGGCCCCTGCAGAATTTTCATTCGCCATGTGGGCAAGCAAGTTATAAATTTTATGAGCCCACACCAAATTTTACTCGCAATTTGCGAGTGGGCGAGCGTTAATTTTAAACCCTGCTTGGGAAAAAAATTGAGGTTTATTGACATTCAAATATTGATGGATAATCATATGTCTTCCAAATTACTTCAATATATCCATGATATTCAAGATATTAGTGTTTCAGATACCAAAAATTACTTTATTGTTTCATATGTGAAAGATATACTCTTAGGCATCACAAACACAATGGAACAAAGTCCCTCCTTTCTAATGCCCAAATGGTTGAAATTTATTCCATCTTAATACTTCTAGGTTACCTGACTATCACCTAGCCAAGCTATAAATGCTGTATCATTGACCACAACTATAACTGTGGCTGTTGTTCCATCTTTCCAAGCTGGCTTCCTGTAACCAAGGTAAAATTGTAAATCATGTACCAATTTTTTGAACTTTAATAACAATTTTACATTGTATAAAGTAAAACTGAAATGTAAATGGTTTTGACTGTACATACATTTTACTTGCTTCTTTTAAAAACTCATCATCTGTCTTCTTAAAGGCTTCCACCATGGTTTTCTTCATATCTTTTTCTACTTGTGAAACTTCACCTAGAAATGAAAATAAAGCAACAAATGTCAAGGAAGTAACAAATTTAAAGAGTAAAAATCAAGAAATATCTCCCTTTTACTAATAGTGAAAAGATGTTAAAACAGAGCTGGAAAATATTTAACAGATATACAAAGACTTTTACATGTGTATTCACTATTGAAAAGGAGGGGTGGCATGGGGAACATTACCCTTTGGAAACCTATCCAGAAGAAATTTATGCAAATTCTTGGATGCAAACCTAGAAGCCCGTGCTCCTCCATGTCCATCAAAGACTGCAAAAAAGGCAACTCTGTACCTGTGAATGTTCAATTTATCAGTCTGTGGTGAATTTCCTATATGTGTTTCCAGCTCATTGCACATTCAGAAGTATAACACATTTGTATGCTAGTTTTCTAAGAGATTTTTTAAAAAAGAAAAGTTTAAAATAACTTACACAGATGGATGGAGGTTCGGAATCTGCTGTGTTACGTCTTGTAATAATACATGTTCATCCTGCATCTCGTCTCTTTCACCTTGTCGTTCAGCAAAGAAGGGAGACAATTTGTATTTTACTGCAAAAACATAATGTGTATCTTAAACAAAAATATATATCATGACACTTTACTATATGTTGGTGTGCTGAGTACATGATCTTTCAAATCACAGAGTAGGTCTTTTACCTGATGTTTTTTGTTTTGCTGGTTTGTCTTCATTTTTTTCTTCAGCTTTTCTTTTACAATTGTTTACACTCACTGTATTCATAGAATCTAATGCAGTATTGGATTTGTCTCTGTCTGGATTGTCTTCACAGAGTTTTACAGGAGCTTCACTAATGCCTGTGGTATATGGAGTATATACATGTATATGTATGTACAGTATAAGTTTAAAAAAATCAGGCCATTTTCAAAAATTGTTTGGTTGCTCCCTCCCAACTGACTGACTAAAATAGTCCAACTCAAAACTTGTAACATTTCAGGACACAAGATATTTTTTAATTCCTCTTTATAGTCTTATCAACAGGTTGGGCACACACCCCCAAATGGTCATTTAACCCCCGTTTGATGGTCATTCGCCCATATCGGCGTCTTTATCAACCACCAAATGGGAGAGAAAAATCGTTCTGTTCAGTTCTCTGGAATGACGTGAAATGGCGCATAATTTCAACTCACGGGGAATAAAATAAAGATATTTATCTGTACTCTGAACGAAAAAAAATAAAATTTCAACGCGGACTTTTTTGCGCAGTGTCGTTCAAATAATTGACAAAATCGTCACCTATGTAAACAAATGTAACGTTTCTCTGTTTTAACTTTAAAAAGAAAATTCCCTTCGTCTCGCGCGTAGTTGAGCCTATCAATCGTGTTGATCACTTCATATTTCTGTCATCCGGGCAACCGATCAATTATCTAAACCAATCAAAAATGACGATCTTTTCCAAACTTGGGTCAAAAGACTGAATTAACTACGGAGGCCCATAAGTGTTAATTTTCAAAAAGTAAAATAAGAGGAATGGTAAGAATTCGCTTTTATTTAGTTTATTTCGTAAGCAATGGCTTTATTCTTTATAAAAATGCGATATGCAGTGAATTCATGTTAAAATAATCACTCGAAAACCATAATCTTGGAATAAAAATAGGAATAATTGCAAATGTCACTTTGTAAATCTTTTATTCAAAAATATTTAATAAATATAGTAGATACAACATAGATATGCATACTAAACCACAAAGGGTCGCACAGAAATCGTAACTTCATCCTAAAAGAAAATAAAGAATAAATGTTACATTCAAATGTAGGAAAAATGAATATCATAGCACTAAGTGCCCACCATACGAATAAGATTCGAGGAGCTCGTGTTTAACGGGATTTTATAAAGATTTGTATAGATGCAGATCGAAAGATCGTTTGAAAAGTTACTTCTTTAGACTAACACCTCTTGCTTAAATGTATTTTTTACCGAACTATACACAACAAAATAATTTTTTGTATTGTTTGAGCTAATAGTTCGGCCGTCACGAACAGCTGTGGGTTTTGTTTTTACGAAGTTCCACAGAAATTCCACATGGAAAATTGACTAAATTGTATCAAATGTGCGATGGATATGTTAATTAAAATTCCCCTATGCCTAAGTAAATGCGCTTTTGCTTTATATCAATGAAAATTGGATTTGAATAAAAAAGACCACCATTTGGTAGGTAAAAAAGACGCCGATATGGGCGATTGACCACCAAACGGGGGTTAAATGACCATTTGGGGGTGTGTGCCCAACCTGATCAAATAAACAAAAATTCTCCGAAGAGAATACACGGACGCAAGTTCATTTACTTAAGTTTTACTTTAAGAATACGCAAAATAAAAATATTACTTTAAGAATACGCAAAATAAAAATATGAGATTAAATTCAAATAACCTGGTTCAGGCAAATCACCAAACAAATCCATCTTTACTGCACCAGGCTGAGGCCAGCAATGTGCACACACAAACTCAACACCGGAAACAAATATTGTTCAAATCAAAAATATTAACAAAACCAATACTACAAGAATTGAAATTTCCGGAATCGTTTAACTTTTGCATCTATAACATAACAGCGATTAGAAATAGAGTTAAAATACAAAGAAAAGAAATGTGACTGAATGTGATATTTGATCCTTACCGTACACTTTTTAAAACTGAAAAACGTCTGCAGATCAGAAAATTCACAATACAGTCGTTTGGCCAGTTCCGGATTTTGGCCAGTTCCGAATAAATAGTAATTTAAGGACTGATAATTAATAAATTCAAAGATGTAAAAATAAATTGATTTCTATGGTAAGAAGGCTTATCTATGAGTGTTTGAATTTTGTGAAGTTTTGATTTTTTGCACTCAGTTTGGTTTCGTTATCGTACTTGAAACAGTAGACATACTTTTACAATGCAACAAATCTGAATCACCGCGACGCGTAAGTCAGCAGAAAAACCTCTGTAGATGCATAAATATTTCACATAAAACAACGTTCCAGGTATCAAAAGTAAGTTTGAGATGTACTCTAACATATACTAAAAATTTGTCAAATATAAATGTTTAGAACACTGCAAGATATAGAAATATTTTCGTGATCTTATTTTACCAGTTCCGGATACCCATTTAAAACACTATTATAAATTCACTCTTCGATGTTTTCTTCATTGTAAACATGACTTATTATACCCCCGCTTGAAAAACAGGAAGAAGGGGAATATAGTAATGGGATGTTTGTCCATCCATCCGTCTGTACGTCCGTCCGTCCGTCTAGCTGTACGTCCGTCCGTCTGATATGCTCTGGGGTATCCATTTCTTATCCGCAACCCCTCTTCTACCACTGAATGAAGTTTAATGAGGCTTCACAGAATTTAATGAGTCTTTAACAGAATCTTTGTTTAACAGTGCCAAAGTGCACCTATTTCACTTTTAGATCTGGTACATAATTTGGGCTCCCTGAGAAAAAACTTAGATACTGTCATTCTTTGTAATTTTGAAAGGTATATCCATCTCTTACACGCAATTCCTCCTATACCACTGAATAAGATTTAATGATACTTTCACATATTCTTTATTGCATTGTGACATTGTGACCTTTAATTCTACTTTTTGATCTGACATTTATTTCGGGTCTCCCAGAGTAAAACATGGATTTGTCTTAAATAATCATAAAGGAGGCGTGGGGTGTCATTAAAATGAGCTCAGCGCACACAGTACCTCTAGTTTCTCTTCAACCTTTTGAAATACAAATAATTTATTGGTAAGCAATTAATTTAACTTTTCTTAGGCATGCCAATTGATACTTCTTGGACGTATATTTTTTAATTTAGGGTTGAATTGCATTAGAATCTCTAGGATATCCGGAACCCGTCGGCTTATTCGTAACTGGTAAAATGGACACCTATGGTAAGTTGCGAAATAGTTTTTTTTTTGAGGGAAGGTTGAACTTTTATGAAACAATATTTAATTCCACAAGTCATCGAGCTACCTTGACAAACCACTTAGATTTTGATATAATTCCTAGTACATTTATAGCACCGTCGAATCGGTTTCTTATTCGGAACTGGCCAAATAACTGTACATGTAAGACAGCAACTTTTGAAGCTGCCACTGATGTAAACTGAATTAATGATTGGGGCTAAGTGTAACTAGTAATTGTGTTTGAGAGTCTGCTATAAGGATAACTCAAATAATTATAACTGAAGAATTATCAAAGATAGGACTGTTTTACTTATGGGAAGCTATAGAACAAATTCAGTTAAGAAATCATTATGTGATATTTACAATATCTTCCACAAGGATATTTGATGTGAATTAATCTTTGAGAAGGTGGTCTTCCACATGCTGTAGACCCGGATAGCAAGCTTAGATTGGTCCATTGTTGGGCCACTGTTGTCACTTATGTTGGTCCAATGTCGGAGAATTATATTGGACCAAAGTTGCACAACGTTGCACCTACATGTTGGCGTTACGTTGGTCCAATCATGAATGTCAAACAATGATAATTCTTATGTTGGCCCAATGTATTTGCGCACCAATATGTTGGCGTTACGTTGGCCCGATGTCACACAAAGATGATTTCAATGTTGGCCCAATGTAGGCCCCATGACAAGCTTTTCATGCATTGACAGCAAAATTCATTCAACGATTGTACAATAAAAAATAAAAGAAATATTTAAATAAAAAACATTTTCAACATTATAGTTTACATAGCAACCTTGGTTCAACAATGTCGGTTCAACATTATACAACAATGTCCATACACCAACATTAAAAATAACAATGTCGGACCGATATTGGAACAATATCACTGCACCAATCGTTGTAATGACAATGTCTGACCAATATCGTTCTGCCAACTGCGATATGTAGCCGATATAACCATATGCCAAAATCGGCCCAATGTAAGCTTGCTATCTGGGGAAGCCCTATTTGACTGATTTCCAATACTGAAATCAAATATAACCAGATTAACTGAGTGTTTCTTATTTGTATTTATTCATTTTTTTTTTTGACTAATCCCATAGTAAGTGACCAATGTTGAAAAAAAAGATACATCTATCAAAACTTCTTTTAAAAATAAACAACACTGAAGACAATCTGATTATGACTAAATAGTCTTTTAACTGCAACAACGTACAAACAGATCGAGGGACGCGTTTCAATCTCATAAAATTATTTTCATTTAAATATCTTTATTTACATTAATATTTTTAACTCCCTGTCTTGTCTACAAATGTGATTCATATTTCCAGATTCCTGTATTTTTCTTCAAGTAATTTAACTTAATCAAATTAGTGGTTAGATCGAGCCAAGGCATCAGCTACAACCGTTATATATGTGTTTAACTCAATGAATTTTTATTCATTCACGACGTTATTGCCCTCTTTTCATTTTTTCTCCGGTGTAATAGGTACACTTTTATCTTATGCAGCATGTTAAAATTTGGCATCTTCATGAGCTTCATTTTTTCCAGTCATATTTTTTTGCTTTAGACTTGCAAGATCAAATTTTAAAGATGACACTTGTTTTTGATTGAGAGTAAATGTTATGTATGTTTGAGCAAATACACAAAAATCTATAAAATCTTCATCATCCGTATCACAGCTCTGTGGTCTTTCGGGACCCCTTTTCTATTACCGTAAGCTGTAAAGAAGCTTTCTCACATTACATTCCCATGCTTTCAAACATTAGTGGCGTTTTTTACATTTGTAATTCCTTCTCTTGATGAAATTGTTTCGTTTAGGTTTCGAAGATCGGTAGGCATATTCATTGTTTTTTGTTCTCTCGGGAAAACTGTTGTTTTATATTTCTGTCAGAAATCTCTAAAATATCTTTGGCACATAAGAAATTAGATGTTAAATTACTCGTACTTCTTTCTGACGGCTTTATCTTAAAAATCAATTTAAGAAAATCTTAGAAAAGGCTACCATACATGTACATGATAGAAGTGGGTTTTCCGTTGATCAAAAAATTATGTCCATTCTTAAAATAATTTCATATAAATACTAAACATCGACTTCATAATCTTAAGGAAATAAAAAAATATATATAGCAAAAGATTTTTATTATGGTAAAGGAACAAATTCATTGACCTAAAAATTAAGAAAATTCTGTGCGAGGACATCGTTTACGGCTTTAACTTTGTGAAGTCACAGAAATAGGTGAACTGCATTAGAAAACCTCTCGACGTTTATGATTTCCGGAGAACACTTGTTAATCTCATTGCTGTAAGATTTTTATTGGGTTTCCCTCAGCTCGCACAGAAATCTCTTATCATAAATTCTTCCTTTGACACAAAAATGTAGTTGCATTCAAATGACTGAGATCTTTACCAATATACCACAGAAACTGGCTTTGTTATATATTGGATAAGATCTTTCAGTTGATAAGCACAAATTAGGTGGGTTTTTTTAAAAATCTGAATAACAAACAGAAGACCAGAGGCTTCAGAAAATATCCATCAATAAGCTCGAGATACAGAAAATATAGAATTGAATTCTGAATATTTAACGACGTTCGCTCCTGATATTTAAAGTCTTAAACTTTTTTTGCCAAGTATATTTTTAGTTTCTACAGACATAGCTTAATTAAAATTCAAATCAACAATACGCTTCTTTTGGCGCTACAGTACATTTAATATGACCTTTTTGCACTGAAATTTGTGTCTTAATTAAAAATTATATTTTTGACGTTTTCCCTCCAATATTTTTATTCAATTAAAGCATGAAACAAAATGAACTCTATGTTTGTTTTAAAAAAGACACTTAAAAATTGTGACTAAGAAAAAGTTTTAAATTGCTTCGCATAATCAATTATTTGACCTTTTTGCACTAATAAAAAGTGATTTTTCTGGCATTGAAAATTTATTAAGCAAGAAAATTATTTTAAAGTCTTAAACTTTTTCTGATTTTAAGCAAATAGGTCAAATTTATCTTGAATATTTAGATAATGTTATAGTTCAAAATGGAAAAACTGATCATTTTCGTCTAAAATACCTTCCGCCACAAAATATAGTCCCTATCTTAATTTTACTTGAATGGAATTTAATCTCCGTTTCTTCATTGTATATATCTGAAGGTCCACTGTAGTTAAATTTGCACTGTAGAATTCAGATTTAATGTTAGAACTTAAAAATGATGCAAAATTTTATAAATAAAGGATCTGACCAAATTACGCTCAAAATCTCAGGATCGAACGTCCTTAAGGTAGGTCGCGGGTTTGCTTTTGTCATCAATTTTGGTACACAATTTCGACGATTCGAGCGGTTGTTTTGTGCACATTTGATTATGACGTCAGTTACGTCACAAAGGCAACGTTGTGTTGTTTCCCGTTAAAATTATCTGCAGATCACTTCAATTCTGTACGATTCAAGTAAATTAATTAATTAATCAAGTAGATTAATTAATACAAAGTGCATGCTATTGAACGTAAACCTCGTACATGTTTTTTAATTAAT